CTCTGATTCCCGAGATGCGCCAGCTCCGCGGCGCCCGTACGTGGACCCGATTTTGGCCAACAACCCTCGCGCCTACGCTGGTTTCGTTGGGAAGTTGCTTCAGGGTGGCATGATTAGCTTCCGCGTGGCGCGTGCTGCTGATCCTTACAGTTTGGGGTTTTTCTTTGCTGAGAAGGTGGGTAAGGGCACGTTGAGACTCGTGTTCGACACAAGAGTGGCGAACGAGGATTTCGAGCCCCCGCCCAAGACGACGCTTCCGACGGCTGCTGCTTGGTCCGCCTTGGAGTCGCAGCGTCCCGTCGTTCTAGCGCAGGGTGACATCCAATGTGCATTCTATCACATGCTGGTGCCAAAAGGGATGGCGGAATGCTTCATGTTGCCCACTATTTCAAATCAGTTGTTGGGGATTACTCACGTCGACGGATTGCCAGTGGCTAGCGATTGCTATCTTCAGCCCATGGTGCGCGTGTTACCGATGGGATGGAGTTGGTCGCTTCTGTTTTGTCAGAGCATCATGCGCAGGGCTCTAGTGGAGAACGGGTTCAGTGACGGATCGTTGATCGAGGACGGCCGCCCCAGTCCTGTGCTGCACTCGCCTGTGAGTTTAGCTGCTGCTGGATACGTTGATAATTTTGCAGTCGTGGGTTGTGATGCAAACATTGTGACGGCAAAGAGAGATCAGATTACGCGGGCGCTTGAATCGTGGGGGTTACCTATTCACTCTATCGATGCGGCTTCGCCGAAGACTGTCTTCACTGGTCTCGAGATCGACGGTGAAAAAGGCACTTTGCGGGTGAAGCCCTCCAACGTCCTGCGCCTGCGGCAGGCCATTCTGGCTGTCCTGCGGCGTGGGGCGGCCTCGCCCCGCCTGCTGGAAGTCTTGCTCGGGCACATCACGTGGGCGATGATTTGTAAAAGAGAGACCTTGTCTATTCTACACTCCGTCTACGCTTTCAAGTCCCTCAAGGACCCCAACGTCAAGCCTTTGTGGAACTCGGTAAGGTTTGAGCCCTGGTGCGTGGCTAGTACGCTGCCTCTGTGGTCCTCGCATTTGGGTATTCCTTGGGGTTCGCGGGTCTCCGCTTCGTACGCGTCTCCTATTGGCGTCGGCGTCTGTACTCGAGATCTGGACTGGCCCCAGGTGGCCGACATGGGGAGGGTTACGGAGCGGTGGAGGTACAGGTGCACGGCAGCAGTTACAGCAAGGGCTAATGCATTGGGGCTGGATGAGCTCCACCTGGAGGAGGGCATCTTGGACTCCGTCGCCGTGGACTACGTCGAATCGTTCAACCCCGAGGGCTCCGTCAAGGGCTTTCTGGAGGTCCCCAAGGAGATCATGGAGGCCTCAGCTTGGGCCACGGTCTTCTCGAGGAGGCATTGGGATCCCATGAGGAACATCTTGGAGCTCGAGGGGGAGGCGTTGCACGACGCCGTTCGCCACGCGTCCCGTAACGTCAGCTTGCACCATCGTCGTCATCTCTTCTTCGTCGACAATTTGCCATTGGCTTTAGCCGCTGGGAAAGGGCGGGGGCGCAAGCCTGTCCTTCGGCGACCTTTGCGGAACATTGCTGCCCTCGCTCTTGCAGTCAACTTCCGATGCTATGTGCGGTGGCTGCCCTCTGAGCTGAATGTAGCGGACGGCCCGTCTCGGCATGGCTTCTTCCACGGCAAAAGCTTCGAGGAGGCGGCCGCGGGCGCGCCGGGGACAGCCAGTGGCGGTCCAGCGCTCCATCGCGCTGAGGGTCGCTCGGAAGCAGCAGCATCCACGGCCGATGCAGCTGGCGGAGGGCGCCATCAGCTTTCTGGAGATGTCTGCCGTCACGGACTCGACCAGGGAGCGCTACAGGGGTCGCGCCGAGAGGTTCCTCGAGTGGGTGACTTGGCGCGGCCTGGACTTTCACTCGGCCCCGCAGCTGGGCGTGGCGCTGGTGGCGTTCATGACCGACCTGGCCTTGGACGGGTTCGACTCCGCCACGGGGAGGATGTCAGTGGCCGCTCTGAGGCATTTCTTGCCCCAGCTGCTCGGCGGCAGGCGTCCTCTCCCTCGAGCGGCCCGAGCCCTCGACGGCTGGCGGCGGCTGGTCCCCCCGCAGATGCGGCTCCCACTGCCGCGAGCTGCGGCCATGGCAGTTGCTGGTTGGATGATCTCTCGCAACTTGCCCAGCATGGGGGTGTTCGTGGCGTTGGTGTTTCATGCGCACCTGCGGCCCTCGGAGGCTTACCGTCTGAGAGTGAGCTCGTTGGTGCCGCCAATAGCTGGGACGGGGTTCAGCTCATGGGGGATCATCGTCAACAACGCGAAAGCAGGCCGGCCTGGCAAGACGGGCGAGACCGACGAGTCGGTGCTGGTGGATGCGCCAGAGCTCTGGCCCGTGCTGCTCGCGCTGAAGGCCAACAGGGAGCCCAGCGCCAGCCTGTGGAACTTCAGGCCCGCCGACGTCCGCCTGATGTTCGCCCAAGGCTTGAGGGAGCTCGGGCTGCAGAAGGAGTCCCCGTCCTTGTACACCCTCCGCCATGGGGGGGCCTTGCGCGACTTGCTCTCGGGGTCCCGATCGTTGGCGGAAGTGAAAGAGAGGGGCAGATGGGTGACGGACAAGAGCTTGAGACGGTATGGCAAGCGCACTCGGATGCAACAGAGAATCGGAGACCTGCCCGTCGAAGTCAGTCGCTTTGGAAATCAGGTGCTCGAAAGATTGGCGGAGCTCATCGTGTGCAGTTTTGTGAAAGGCCATTTCCCGCTGGCTGTTCCTCTTCAGCCCATGCCTGCCGTCCCGCCAGTCGCAAAGCGGGCGCCAGTTCTGACCATGCGCTAGCTTCTCGTTTGAACGGGGCGTTTCGACGTGCTCACGCGTGGGCTTCTCGCCGCAGGCGGCTCGTTTTGCCTGTGCTGGGGCCTCATGGGGCCCCCATATGCAAAGCGCTGCGCAGTCGCGGTTTGGGTTGCCCATCGTTCGGAGCAGGTCGGAACGCGAGTCTAGGTTTGACTGAGCGAGTAGTGGTCAATCGAATCCTGGGCTGGATTCGGTCGTCCGCTGTCTGCGCTTTGTGGATCTCCTTGTCTCGTAGTACCTGGACGCAGCCAGGCGTCCCGCCTTGCCGTTCTGTGGCGGACCCTTGGGGTCGCAAGTGCGGCGCGTCCAATTCAGTGTTGCTCCCTGCCTTTCTGTGTGACAATGTCGAGATGCAGGCTGCCATTCAGATTTTGCGTGCGTGCGTGAAGCATCATGTGCCTGTGTGTTTCGAGCATCCTCGTAGCAGTTTGATCTGGCATGTTCCTCAGCTAGTTGAGCTAATGAACCATTCTGCGTGTCTCAACGTTCAGGTGGACCTGTGTCAATTTGGTGCCGCAGCTCGCGCTCCCACACGTGTGTGTTGTTGGCGCTGCCCCAGCTTGTCTCGCCTGGCTCGCGTGTGTGATCACGGTAAAGAGTGCTGCTCGTTTTCGGGGCGACCTCACATGCGTTTTGACTGCCGCACGGCAAAAGGCGTAGCGTGCAGGCACAAGGCTGCCCGCTTTCCCGCTCGAGCAGCCGAGCTTGTGGCAGATTCAATCGTTTCGTCGATCGAGGAATTGTCGCAGGCCCGATCTTATTTCTTGGGCGGCCTGCGGCCATGAGTTTTGTGTTACACAATGTACGTCTGTGCTGCCCGCGAGTGTCCTGGTCACTCTGGGAGTCGAGGCCGTCGTTACCTGCCATCGCCACCGTCAGCTTCTCTAAAAAGAATGTTATGGCCTCGGGGACCCGACCTGGCATTGTAACAACTTTAGTGTGGTGTGTGCTGGGGAAGGGGCTGAGGGGCCGCACGACCGCTACCGTTGTGCTCAAGCTCCCGAACCCACACGCCCTCGCTTGAGGGTTTTGAATCGATTTAAGTCTGCGTCTGTGCTGCCCGCGAGTGTCCTGGTCACTCTGGGAGTCGAGGCCGCCGTTACCTGTCATCGTCACCGTCAGCTTCTCTAAAAAGAATGTTATGGCCTCGGGGACCCGACTCGGCATCATCATTATCATTCTCATTTTCATCGGGACACCATCGTCGTCATCATCATCATCATTACCATCATCATCACCATCGGGACACCATCATCATCATAACCATCAGCATCAACAGCATCATCATCATCACACTCATCGTCATCATCATCATCATCATCGGGACACCATCATCATCTTCATCATCACCATTACCATCACATCATCTGATCATCATCTACATCATCAGGAGCATCATCATCATCAACATAATCATCGGGGCACCGTCCTCATCAGCAACATCATCATCAACATCATCATCATCATCGGGGCACCATCATCATCACCACCATCACCATCATCAACAACATCATCATGAACATCGTCAACATCATCATCATCAGCATCATCATCATCATCATCATCGGGACACCGTCATCATCAGCAGCATCCGCATCATCATCGTCATCATCATCATCATCGTCATCATCATCATCATCATCATCATCATCATCGGGACACCGACGGGACACCGGCGGGACACCAGCGCGACACCGCGCGCCACCGGCCCCCGAGCGGGACACCGGCGGGACACCGCGGGGCACCGGTTGCCGGAAGGGAGACTTTTGGTCCGGCCGCGCCTCAGCTACAGGAGACTTATTTTTCGCCCGCCCACGCAGCTTCGCCTCGCCCGCACGCACGGCACGCACGAACACGAAACCGAAACAGATTTCCTGGTAGGGGGGCTCTCCGTTCCACTTCGATCTCACCCCCTCACCTCCGATAACTAATTATATGAGTGAGACGTACCAATCATACTAATAATACAGATCGCACTTTTTGAATGTTACTAGTAATACTAATCGTACTCATGATCGTAACCACACCAATGCTAATGCTAGCGCTACGAAATCTATTAATTATACTGGCGCAGCTTGGAATTATCCTAACATGCCAACATGAAACATGATGATATTAATGCTGAGGACAGGAAAAAGAGCAGGGTAACCTGCTCGCAACCCTCGCCCCAGGCTGGCTCCGAGGGGCCCGCCGGCGCGCTACCTCCTGGCGCGCGCGTGCTGCTGGTGGACGATTGCGGCGCCACGCTGGCTGCGGCGCTGCGGCTGCGCGGGGCGCGGGTGACGACCCGCCGCGCCGCGGCGGCGGCGGTGACGAAGAGTACGACGACGCAGGGCTTCAGTGGTGCTGGCGCTCCTCCTCCTCCTCATTCTCCTGCTCTTCCTCCGCCTCCTTATCCTCCTCCTTCTCTCCTCCTCCCCTTTTTCCTCCTCCTCTTCCTCCTCCGCACGGCCAACCATCACATGGACAAGGCCGCCTTGCTCCAGCTGGTCCAGCCCTTGTTGCAGTCCGAGACGAAGTCCGTGCGGTGTCTTTGACGCCTGGTCGTTGTTCGACTGCTCGCTTCGACGGTTGTGACACCATCGTCGACGCTACGCGCAGTGACATGGAATGCCCGAGCCCGTCTACATCACGGAGGAGAAAAAAGGGTCCCTCAAGCAGGATTGCCTTATGCGGTTGGAGCCTGCCGAGTCGGTAGTATGCTTGCAGGAGGTTCGGCACGATGAGCTTCAACTGCGTGCCTTCATGAATGCGGTGGCGCCCTCTGCGACGATTCTGTCGTCGCAGAGGTGAGCGAGGTGAGCGCATTCGGGGTGGGGTGGCAGTTCTTCTTCCCGAATTCGGACTGGTCGCTGGAGAGAGGGTGCGAAGTCGCCAGGTGGCTCTCGTGCCTGGTCGAGTTTTTCAGACGATCCGCCTACATGTCTTCGATGTACACGACCATGGTCGTTCCCGTGAACGGGTTAGCTCGGTCGTGAGGGCCATGGAGGCTGCCAAAGCGTCCGCGGCCAGGGCTCCTGCTCGGAGGCTCGTGATTGTCGCTGGCGATTTCAACTTCGCATCCGAGGAGGCGGTGTTCCTCCATATGCCGCAGGCTGCAGTTCGTCGTGTGTTTCTCAGCACCATGCGCAGGCGACGGTCTGGAGTCGGGTGCTCGCGCAGCTGGTCGAGATCGAGTGCGACATGCTGTCGGACTACGACGAAACAGCGAATTCCGCGTCGTGCTGCAATAAGCTGCCCGTGAAACTCGTCATCGATTTTGTCGACATCGACCGAATCATCCAGCCACTCTGCTCCAGCTCGCCAGGCTCCTGGCGCGCGTGGTATGGCGTCAGGATGTGGGCCTGTCCTGGCGTTTGCTCCATTCCCACCCTGCCGCGTCCGACTTGATCCAAGGTGTGCTGATCCACCTTGAGTCCTTCCATGCGTGGTCAGACCCCCTCCACTGTAAGGCTGTGGAGTGCGCGCGTGCTGAGCTCCAGGCCAGGAAGGAGAAGGAGGGGGACTCCAGGACCATGAGGTTGCGAGTGAGGGCTTTCGAGAAACGGGCTAGGCTGTGGCCACCTCTGAATCAACGTGTTTGCCTGACTGTTGTCACCGACGACCAGGATCAGGCCGCGACAGACCCGTGTGAGCGGATCAACCTTCTGGAGCGTTATTGGGACCTTATGTTCTCGACGAGGTCTTGGGATGTGGATCTAGCTGGACCGTATGTGCGGCAACGTCTGCCTGATATTGATAACCTCGTCCTCCCTCCTCCGTCCTTGCGAGTGCGAAGGACTCGGCGACAGGATATGATGGGCAATGGTACTCTGCTTAGCGCTCCAGCCCCCAGGGCCTCGTGTTCTGCGGACTTCCTCGACTGGATCATCGGGGGTCAGGTGTTGTTCGACTCGGCGAGCCTCACATTACAAGCCTTTCTTCCCAAGAACGCGGGGGATGGGGAGCTCCAGACGGGGCAGGTGGTACGCTTGGCTGGCAAAGTACGGGCTCTAGGGCTCTAGGCTTACGGAACTGTGATGCCAACATCGCGTCGGCGACCATGAATGCGGCGATCAGGCCGATGCTTACGAGGATCGCCCCGGCTTGTCAAAGGGGTTTCGTTCCCTGGCGGAATTTTGGCCTGAATATTCTAGAATTGGATGTCTCGAGTCGTAAGATGCCGCTTGCCCCTCGTGGCTCGCTGGCGTGCCCAGTCCTCTACAGCCTCGACGATGGGCACGCCTTCCCCTCCCTGAAGCAATAGTTCATGTTGTCCGTGCTCCGTGTCTAGCGCTTGCTCGAGGCCTTTCTGGTGTGTGTGTGTGGATCTTCGACCAGGCCATTGAGGGCATCGTGGTATCCTTTGGGCTCCGTGTGCATTTGTATTGGTTTCGAAGTGGGATTCTGCCGGGGTGTGCTCTTTACGGATCGCTGTATGCGATGGCGTCGTCGCCGTTCCTCGATCACCTCCAGGATACGATGTAGAGCTCCAGTGGCGTGGGTTGGTTAGCGCATGTTTTGACAACATTCGAGGCACGCTGCTCAGCATAGAGGACCTGGCCTTGGTCGCCCTCGTGATGAGGGCTGCGGAGGTGCTCGCTAATCTTATCAATTCAGACATGCCATTTTGTCCCGCTCGTGGGGCCCCTCTCGGAGAGCCTTGCGCAGCACGTTCTGGCGGTGCTGTCTCGTGTGGTGCCCCGCTGGGCTTCCATGGAGGTGGCTTCGGAGCTTCTGCATTTGGGTGTCTGGCTTGGCTCCTCGGTCGACCTCCCCAGACCCAGCGAGATCTCCTCACGAAGGTCCGTCTTCGGGCTCGAGCTGCTGGGCGTGGTGTGATCTCTGTTAGCATGCCCTTTATCATTCACGCTACACCTCTCGTCACGACCGCTTTTACATCAGTCAATGCTTCTGAATGTCCAGGGATGTGCTTGCAGCTGAGCTAGGAGTTCTTGCTCAGGTGTCCCGTTTGGCCCTTGGCACTCTCACGCTGAATTCATGGGTGCAGGTGGGCCTCTGGCAGGGCCCGCTGGTGACGCGCTGGGCGAATTTGAACTTGGCGTATCTCCTTCGTGCCGCGATGCGCATCTACCATGAATATGCTCGACTGCTCCCTGTGAAGCGACACCCTGCCCAGTTCTGTGGGCTTTCGAGGCCGCTCGACATGCTCTTTCGTGATCGGATGTGCCCTTCCTTCTGGCAGAGCCCCTCGATTGTGGAGAACATGGCTATGGCTGTGTCTGGCACGGTCCCTCCTGGACCCTGATCTAAGATGATAGACGTGGGACGCGCGCGCGCGGCTCTCGCGGCTGCTCCTGAGCATCACTTGCGACCGCAACGTGTTGTAAATCGTGCCCAGCGTGATCGTGTTCTTGTCGTCGATCCCCTCCGTGAATTCTCGTGCATGAAGCTGCGCAAGTTCTTCGGTGGCCGCCACGGTGCGTTCTGGGAGGAGCTTGACTGTGAGGCGATCCTTGCCCAGCTGCAGAAGCGTCCGTGCTCGTGCGCTTGGTCTGCTATTGGCACGTGGTGTGACGGCTAGTTTACTCCGGATTCCATAATAAAGTGGGGGGGGGTCACATTTGGGGGGGTGTCTGATTAGAGCTGTCTCGGAGGGTTCGGGGGGGTCTGGGCGAAGGGCCGCCCTTTCATGGATGGTCTGGAGGGGTCTAAAACTTTTCGTCTGGGAGGGTTGTGACCCCCTCCCTTTTATTAAGAAATCTGGAGTACCTCTTCGAGGATCCTGCATCTTGCCAGGAAGAGGAGTTGCGCCTTCTGGATTTGCCGGCGCTCGTGCTTCGCGCCGCGTTCGCCTTTCGCCGTGCTCCTCGGGACGCCCTTGCACGGCCGTCTCCGCTCGGCCCCGCGGAAACAGGGGGGCCGGTTAACCCGACGCTGGCTGCATTTGGCTTTGTGACAGCAGCACGCGGGGCCTACAACGCGGCGAAGGGCACTGCGACGTGGCCGATGTCTGAGATGGACGCGCACAGCGCGGCGATGGCGGGGGCGCGCTCGATGAAAATGGTCGCGCCGACCGCTCCTGGCGACGATGGACGCGCTCTACCTTTGCCGTGGCGGCGGCGGCCTCGGCCGTCCCCAACGTTTTCGGCGTCAGCCTTCTTATCCTTCTTCTGCGGTGGCCGGAGTGGTACTCCCTGAGCTCGCGGACCCGAGCTCTGACCCTGACGTGACCGTGCCTGGAGCGACGGATTCGGGTCCCGAGCCGCTGCTAGACAGCCCGCACTGGAACCCACGCCTGACGCCGCGTTTGGTTCCTGGGCCGCGATCCGATGATGATTATGTCTGGCGCGATCTCTGCCCTGCGACGCGTGCGCCGCCTCGCCCGCGGACTCCCGCTACAGAGCCCGCGGCCCCTGTGGCGCGTTGGTGCGCTGGAGGACCTCTATGCCTGTAAGTGATCCTGCGTGGACGTGGCTGCGATGGCGGCCGATCGACCGGCCAACCAACCGACAGTGACGAGGTGGTCTTCGACTCGACGGGTTTCGGTCGACAGCGCTGGTGAGAGCAAGATCGTGGTCCCCAAGTGGCCCCTCTGCAGCGTTGAGGGCCAGTCCGTGTGCAGTGGCGACCTCTGTTGCTTCCTTGCTCACGGAGTCCTCCTTCCATGATGGCGAGTTCGTGTCCGCCGATTGGCTCGGCTGCTGCATTCGTGGCGAGGTCGGCTCCAGAGATGGCCAGTTTGCGATCGCTAGTCGGGTCGTCCTTCATGAGCACGCCAATGACATCTGCCTCCGCCCGTGAGGCGCGGCAAAAAGGGAGCTCGATCGATCGTCGGCCCGTTGCTGCCTGCGCCGCTTGCCCCCCCCCCCCTCGCCCCTTTTGGTGCTGCGCCCCCCTCGATCACATGCGTGCAGCGAGCTTTCCTATTTCGGCCATCCGCTCCGCCGACGCGCCGAGCGAGAGCCTGCCCGAGCTGCGAGAGGTGCCGTCCGCTGTGGCGGCCGACGCCGCCCGCTGCTGGGGCGGTGGGCAGGTGTTCAGCGGGCAGAGGGCAGCGAACTTTTCCTCCTGCGGTCGTCTCTTCCTCCTCCTCCTGCGCTTCGCGGGCGGGCCCCCGTCGACCCCCGCCGGCGGCGCCCATCCGCCGCCGGCAGGAGGGGTGCCGCCTTGGGCCCTGCGGAGTCGACCAGGTCGGAGGTGCTCAACCTCGCCTGGGCCGCCGCCACTGCGCGCGCCGTTCCCGCCTCGGCCTGGGCGCCGTCACCATCGCCATCGCCATCATCAGCAGCAGCACCATCATCGTCATCACCATCACCATGAGCATCGCCAGCATCATCGTCGTCGTCATCACCGCCGCGACCATCGCCATCGCCATCGTCATCAACGCGCTGGATGTATGAGATCCCTCTCGCTGGACTGTGTGACCTTTACTGCTATCTCGTGGTCGCCCATTGTGCGGATCTACCTGCCTCCACGAGAGAGAGAGAGAGAGAGAGAGGGAGGGAGAGAGGGAGACGCTTCTCGTCTTCGTCGCTAAGGGTGATCATTCATCTGACCTGTCTTGCTCGCCATCCCGCTCTCCCAGCGCACGTCGTCCTTTTTCGGCTTTGGCAGACGCATATTGCAAGATCATGTCTCTGGAATCCCTGTGGCGTCTGGAACATGGACAGCTCGTGAGACAGTCTCAAGTTCAGGCGCGTTTGAACGTTTTTCCCATGACTGATCAGTTTTTTGAAGCCGATGTTTGGGGTCTAAAGCAGCTTGTGCTTGGGGGGGACCGCGTGCATGTTCCTGACCGACGTTGCTGCCGCGTTCCCGAGCATTGCTGTGTCCCGGCTGTTCCAGTCTTAGTGCTGATGCAGGCCCATCCTGGGATCATTCATTCCTTCGAGGCGCTTTACTGTGAGAAATCAGGGATTGCCTGTTTCGGCGGGAAGCGGCATCGTGGCATTCAACTCCTTGGGAGCGCTCGGCAAGGACACCCTTCCAGTGTGCTCTTGTTTGCTCTGGCACTTGGGCTGTGCATTCAGCGGTTTTCTTCGCGGTTTCGCCGGCTCGTTCTGGCTTATGCGGATGATCTCTGGTTTGGGTTTAGGAACGTAGCGATCGAACTCCTGATTCTGTTGCCACTTGTGTAGAAGTGTGATGCAGGGATTGGATCGCGACTCAACGTTTGGAAGTGCGTGCTGATTCACTGTGGCCTCTCTCTGACACCAACGACTGCCTAGCGCATCCTTGGCTCGCTTGGCCCTGGGCCTCCTCGATGCAGCTTGCTCGGCGCGTTCGGCGCCTTGGGATCCAGATTGGGCCCGATGGTTGGAGGGTGGCCTGGGACGCGTCTTCGCGGAACTACCACCAGCGACGCGTGGAGATCCGACGGTTGAGGCCTTCGTTTGCTATGACGATTCGTTCGTGCGTGGTCTTCGCTGTCTCGGTTCGTCGGTTAGCTGCGCATTTAGATCCTGCCTCTCGCGAAGTTGCCCGCCGCGAAGGTAACGTTCACAACGCGAGGTGGTGGCTGGCCCCCGGTCCTGTTTCTCAACCGTGTGACGTGTGCTCGGCTGCGGGATCTGGGGCTCGCTCCCGAGTGGTCAGATCTGGCCCGCGTCGGCGTCGCCAATCATCACCACCCACCAAACCACCCCAACCCAACCCGAAGGCTTCACTTTGCCCTCCATTTCCAGTGTGGTGGTGGGGTGGGGGTCAGGGAACATGGTAAAACACATGGAACCCGTACTCCCCCAGCTCGAATTTCGGGTCAAATTCGGGTCTTCGGGTTTGCTTGGGGTGGTCTGGTAGGTAGTCAAATCAGGTCCGCCTGGCACGGCCCTCGCCCACATTGGGGCAGTTCCCATGCTGGTCGGGGATCTCATGATGCAAGATGAGTGTTGCCCTGGGCGTGTCTGCTATCCCTGGGGGCAACACTCCTTCGCTCGTTCTCTGGTATCGGCATGGGAGTCTCACACTATCTGTTGCTGGTTGCTTGTCTTAGGCCCTGTGCCCCTCCCATCCACCCTTTCCGATGCATCCACGCGAGCATGTGAGGTGGTTCTATAGCGTCGTGCTTTCCCAATTTTCAGGCATCATTCAGGCGACCCGTAGCGTTGTCAAAGATAGTTCCTTTTATCTCGGGCTCGCTGTTCTCCGTGCTCGTGCGCGAGGTGTCTGCGCTAGTGCTCGCTTTCATCGTGGCCCTTCTCGGTGTTGTTGGAACTGTGGGAGGGATGGTGCTACAGATTCTGTGGTGCATGCAGCTTGCCCTGGATTCCGACGACAGGCTCTAGCTCTCGCCCCTTGCCTCGCCCTGTCTTTTAGAAAAGAGTCTTGGTTCCGCTGTTTAATCTTCGTTTCCCCGTCACCGCTTCCTGATCAACGTCTGCTCTGCGCGAGCATCTTCAATGCGTTTTTGCTTGTTCAGGCCTGCTTTCGCGAATGTTCGACGGTCTTCCTGGGCGATCTTTTTGAGGCTAGAGTGCAGGCTCACTGCTGGTGCCACCCTCGTGTCCATGCTGCCTGGGCTGGCGTTCCCGGGTAACTGGGGCGCGGCTGTGGTCCCCATTTTTGACGCATTCGGTGCAAGTTTCCGCTGTCTCTCTCTCTCTCTTATCTTTTGTTGGTCGCTGCTGGTCTGAGTGGTCTGTAAATTTTGATCGTTCTGGGGGAGTGGCCGTCGATCTCTTACACGTCAGAAGATGCTAGCCTTAAGTCGCCACGTCTCATGTGACAAGCTACCGGGGATTAACGCGACGGTGTCTCAGGGTGTGTCAGGGTGTGTGTGTGTGTGTGTGTGTCCTGGGAGGCCGCCGACCATGCGCCCCGCAGGTTTTCGACGAATCCCCTTCTCCTTGTGTTCCCCCGTCTGCTCCGCTCGGTGCTTCTCGTGTGCAGGAGAGGGTGGGGCGCTCTCTTGCTCTCTGTGCCGCTGGGAGTGCTGCGGGGCTTCTTCTGCAGGGCTTAGTGCCTGACTCCATCGCTCGTCCGCTCGCATTTGGTTTTGCGCGCGGTCGCCCACTGGCCTTTGACAACTCCCGGCTGGGAGGACTTCGACATGGATGGAGCGACAGGGCATCCATGGGGCTATAGTGGGCCTCCGCTAGCCACTCTTTACCCCTGCACCCCTCAGGTCTTCGATGAGGTCCTAGGGCCGCTGCCTGCCTTGCCCCGACCCGCTTTCGGCCGAAGGGGCCTTGCGGGCTTGGTCTGTTCGGCCATTGTCTTCGTTGCTGATCAACCATCCCTCTTTTTTGTTTTTCCTTTCTGTCTGTCTGTCTGTCTGTCTGCCTCTCTCTCTCTCTCTCTCTTTTTTTTTGTCTTTTTGTTTTTTGTTTCTCTCTCTCTCTCTCTCATTCTGCAGGGTTTTAACTCGCACGCTGGGCGTTTTCTGGATTTGCGCATCGATTGTTACTCCGTTCGTTGCCGTCGGTCCGCGCGAGGGGGGAATCATCGTCATCATCATCGTCATCACCATCGTCAGGATCATCTCCACCACCATCATCATCACAAGTATCATCGTCGTCCCCGTCGTCATCATCATCATCATCATCATCATCATCACCACCATCACCACCAGGAGCATTATCACCATCATCATTGTAATCTGCGTCGTCTTCGTTGTCGTCGTCGTCGTCTTCGTCTTCGTCTTCGTCGTCGTCGTCGTCGTCGTCGTCGTCGTCCGACGCATCTTCGTCGTCGTCGTCGTCGTCCTCGTTGTCGTGGACGGCCCCCCAGCGCGCGGGGCCCGAGGTGACCCGCTGGCGCCGCTTCTGCCGCGGCCCCCGCGCCGGCGCGGCGTGGCCGCCCGGGCGCTCCGGGGGCAGGCTGTACGACGGCTCCCCGCAGGGGGGGAGGAAGAAGAACAAAGGCAAAAACAACAGCAATAATGAACACAATAAGGAAAGGACAAGTAACAATAACAATGCTAGTAAGGAGCGTCAAACTAAGATGAGTAACACATCGATGGGAGGACCAGTAGCAGTAGTGCGACGAACAATAATCACAGGAACAAATGCGGAAAAGAGGAATATGAGGAATAAGAGGGAGAAGGGGAAGAAGAGGAAGACACGCCCATGGGCCGGTCTGGCATCAACCGCTCGCGCTTGCGCATTCAGCGCGCCATCATGAGGCCGGCCGCGTTGACGTCAGGCTCCCGAAGGAACCGTCGGTAGGGCTCCTGTGGCAGGTCCCTTGCGTGGGTCTCTGACATCGTTTGGGGCAATTCGTGGGGCGTCCAAGGGGGGTGGTCGGGACAACGCTGGGGGGGTGCAGGCTCGAGGGGGGACGCATCGACCCCCACTCGCCCACTGATTCGCTGATAGGGGCCTGGTAGCACGCCCCAGGCGCCGCCCAGCGGCTGCGCGGCTGCGCGGCTGCGCGGCTGCGGCTGCGGCTGCAGCTGCAGCTGCGAAGCTCTACGAGGTCCCCGGCGGTAGCCAGGTTATCAGGTTGACGGTTTACCGCTGGCGCCCAGTTAAGCTGCTCCAGGGACCATGCGGATTCGCCCCAGGCCCCGACCAGGTAGCACGCCCCAGGCCCCGCCCAGGCCTTGCCCAGGGCCTTATCGGCGATGTGTCGGCGACGTGTCGTCGATGCCAGTTCGGTGTCTCCCCCCAGAGCGGGTCGCCCCCCCGGCGTTCCCCGCAGGGGCGGGGGGGTTCATGGCCAGGGCCACGACATCTCTTGGATGTCTTGGCAGCGTATTCGTACTCGTCTTCTGGCTGCTATGCGGTGTTATGATGTTTATGATTCCCCTCGTTTTTCGTTGCTGCCTCCTTATCCTTCTCCTTCTTACTACTTCCGGTATTTCTTTTTTTCATACTATGTGTTATGTGTCTTGCAGTGCGTCCCTTGGCCACCCCTTGGCTGTGTACATGCCTCGGGCCATGGCGCCAACCCGCCTCCTCCTGGGCCCCCCTCGTCGGTGCACCCGAGGGCAAGGGGCAGACGACGGCGCCTCCGACGAGGAGGGCCGCCCCCCCCCCCCCCCCCCCCCCAACATCCAACGCCTTGAGGAAAGAGCAGCACGATGGTTTCGGGGCTGTTCTCTGCTTCCGGGGAGCCCCTCTCCTCGGGCCCCAGGGTCGTCGAAGAGCTTGTCGGGGCGAAGAGCCGGTTCTGGGGCAACGCCGTATCGAGAAAACACTGCACCAGACCTTTTGGGTCTGGCGCCGACGACGGCGAAGATACCGACGGCGAGGAGGATTCTTGCCTCTTCTGGCGCCGGCGACGTCGCCGACGGCGAGGAGGACTCTCGCCTCTCCCGGCGCCGATGAAGTCGCCGCCGACGAGCATGAGGATTGGTGAATTCGGAGCCTCCTAGGCTTCTCGCCTCTCCGGCCTTCTCTGGGGGGGCCTTCATTCCTTCCAGTCGGACCAAGGTATAAGGTCGAGTTCGGTTTGGGGAGGGTGCCCTACTGTGCGTCGTGCTTGTTGGATGATCTCGTGCATCGTGGGGGAGGGTGCCCTCGAATGTTCTTCATTTTGGCCGGCGGTCTTATGTTCTTGATCGGGAGCCTTGAGACGGGGGTCAGTGCAAACGGGGGTCAGCCAGGGCGACGGATCTTGCAGGATCCTGCAGGGCCAGGGTCGCATTGACCCGGGTCTGGGTGCAGGATCCTGCAGGATCTTGCAGGATCCTTGGCATTGACCCGGGTTTGGGTGCAGGATTTTGCAGGATTCTGCAAGGCCTAACTGACCCGGGTCTGGATTGACCCAGGTCAGAAGATCCCCGACTTGAAGGATGTTCTTATGTCCTACGTCCGACTGTATTCAGCGTCCTTTCTGATAGCACGATGGCTGTGCTGCTTGTCGGCCAGGCTGTGGCGGCGTATTGCCACGCACGTTGGGAGAATCAATTGGACAGGCCAGTGGCGATTTCGTGCCTGGCGGCGTCGGTGGAAAACCGCGAGCCCACGCGCCCCTGGCAGGCGGTCAAAGACATCATTTCGGCGACGACAGAACGACGACGACGACCACGACGACGAGCACGACGACGACGACGACGACGACGACGACGACCACAACCACGACGACGACGACGACGACCACGCCGACGACGACGACCACGATGACGACGACCGCGACGACGACGACGGTGATAACGACGACGACGACGACCACGACGACGATGACCACGACGACCACGTCGACGACGACCACGACGACGACGACCATGAGGAGGACGACGACGACGACCACGACGACGAGGAGGACGACGACGACCACGACGACGACGGTGAGGACGACGACGACGACAACAACGACCACGGTGACGCGCGACGCTGAGGACGACGATGACGACCACGACCACGACGACGACGACCAGGACGACGACGACGACCACGACGACGACGATGAGTAACCAGGCGGTGCGCAGGGAGGTGGTTACAGCGGTTGGCCAGCTCATCTCCAGCATTTCCAATATGCTTAACGCCCACAGGTCGGACCAAGTCGACAGCGACGAGAAACTGGCGAAGAGGAAGAGCGAGCTTCGTGCCAGGAGAGGTCGTCGAAGAGAAGGCCGAGCTGGACCAGATGAGGGAGAAGGCCGACGCCGTCTTTACGTGTCTCCAGCTCGTCGACGAGAAAGCGGTGTCGAAGGCCAGGGAAACAGCGGTCGCCAGTGCAAACAAGTGGCCCCCCCCCTTCAGTGAAGATCAACCTCCAGGAGGTGACGAAGGGGATCCAGGACCTGAAGGGCAGTCCGGATCCGGAGAACAATATGGAGGCGTTTTTGCAGTCGGTAAAGGAATTGCAGGAGAAGAACCACCAGGCGTGGCAGGAGTACGAGACCAGGCTCCAGGCCCACGCACAGTGAAAGGAGATGGTGGGGCGGATGGTCAAAGAGTCCGTCAGTACTCACCCGAAGACCAAGGGCTTGACGGGGGAGCAGAAGAAGCAGGCGCTGAGCGATGCTCTAGAGAAGATCAGGCCCGACCACCCCGATCTGGAGCAGCCCCGAGAGCCTGAGAAGACGCAGCTCGGCTCGACCTGAGCATGGCGAGGGCATGCCTCCACGAGGGTTCCTGGGACGACGAGGTGAAGGTCCTATTCTGCATCTGCGGCCTGCTAGACAGACTCGCTCGCATGGAGGCGGGAGTCCTGTGCGCCAGGGCTCTCGAGGAGGAGGACGAGCTCTGCGTGCAAGTACGCCTGGGAATGGAGGTCTTGGGCCAGAAACCGTCCGTGAAGAAGACGAACGAGGAAGTCGTTGCGGCTTTCTGGACGCTGGACAAGGTAAAGATGCAGGAGACGCACCAGAAGATGAGCGAGGACCTCCAGACCAAGCGCGAAGCGCTGGTGGATCAGGGGGCAAAGACCAGCCATGAGCTGTCCGAGCTCGAAGCATCTCCGCTTGTCAGCGTCGAGAACAGCTTGCTCGTGCATCAGGAGGTGAAGGGCCACCTTGTGAAGCTGAAATCCGTGCTCGAGAAGTCGTGTGCGCGCGCGTGATTCTGGCGCTGCGTCTCGAAGGTGTCATCCGCGAAGGGGCATGCGCCGCCCGCGGGGTCCTTCAACGCCTAGGGGTGAGGGTATATTCCTGATTTGACAGCCTTATGGCCCTCTTCCAGGGCAGGGTGCGGGCGTTAAAGTCGAGCGAGCAGGCCTCCTCCGAGCTGCTCTCGATGGAGCGCAAGACTGACGTCCTCCTCGGACCGAGGTTCATCGGGGCCCTACTTTCGGATAGCGTCTTGATGGAGGACATCGGGGCTGTCCTCCGCAGGCCGCAGGTGGAGGAGAGCGCCGCACAGGAGATGCTCGAGAAGTGGCTCAACAGTATGGGGTTGAGGGTCGAGATCAGCACGCTGGATCTGGTGTCAGAGGAAGAACCTCCACAGTGGCGTCCCCTCTTCGACGTCGAGCACCCAGCCCTGGTCGACGGCGACGACGCAGAGCCGGAGGATGTCTCTGGCCCGCTGGCAGAGCTCTCGGAGTTCTTCAAGCACCAGGAGGCCGAGTCCCTGGTGTCCTCGATCTAGCCGACCGCGGTGGCCAATATCCCCAGTTTTCAAGCTGCAGGAGGCCGAGTCCATAGTCTCCTCGTTCCAGCCACCCGCGGTGGCTGACTAGGCATTTTCCGGCCCGCCTGCTGCTCGCAGAGGCGTGGCGCGACGACGGCGATGAGCGCGGCGACGACGAAGACCACGACGACGACCACGACGACGAAGCTGACCACGACGACGACGACGCCGATGACGATCATGACGACGACGACGACGGTGAGGACGATGACGACGACCACGACGACGACGAGAACCGCGATGGCGACGACGACGACCACGACGACGACAAACACGACGACGATCGCGACGACGACGGTGCTGATGACGACGACGACGACCACGACGGGGAGGACGACGACGACCACGACGACGACCACGACGACGACGACCGCGACGACGACGACGGCGGCGACGACCACGACGACGACGGTGAGGCCGACGACGAGCTTGACGACGTCGACGACCACGACGACGACTTAGACGAACGCGATGGTGACCACGATGACGTGGACGACGACGACGACGACCGCGCCGAAGACAACGACGACCACGACGACGACGACGACCACGACGACCACGACGCCGACCACGACGACCACGACGACCACGACGACGGCGGCGACAACGCCGGCGACGACGGTGGTGACGACGGTGAGGGCGACGACGACGACGACCACGACGACGACGACGACGACCACGACAGCCACGACGACGACCGCGACGACAACGCTGAGGACGACGACGTCGACCACGGCGACCACGACGACGACCACGACCAGGACGACGAGGACGACGACGACCACGACGCTGATGACCACGACGGCCACGA